GCCCGAGAGGGCCCCAAGACGGCCCAAGAGGCGCCCAAGACGGCCCAAAAGGGCCCCAAGACGGCCCCAAGAGGGGACCACGAACCGAACAGTCTAGCCTTTCGCCCCAAGAGGCCCCCAAGAGGCCCCCCAAGAGGCCCAAAGAGGCCCCAGGATGCCAAAATCATTGATTGCCGATTTGGAAATGCACATGTTTACCATATACGGCTTTTCGGTTTTCACGGCGTTGACGACGGCCCAAGAGGCCGCCAAGACCGCCCCAAGACAGCCCAATAGGCTCCCAAGAGGCCCCCAAAACGGCCCAAGAGGGCCCCAAGACGGCCCAAGAGGCGCCCAAGACGGCCCAAGAGGGCTCCAAGACGGCCCCCAGAGGGGGACCACGCACCGAACAGTCTAGCCTTTCTCCCCAAGAGGCCCCCAAGAGCCCCACAAGAAGCCCCCAGAGGCCCCCAAGAGGCGTCCCAAGAGGCCACCAGGAGGCCAACATCATTGATTTCCGATGGGGAAAAGGTGCAGTTTTAGCATATACGGCTTTTCTGCTCCCAAGAGGCCCCAAAAAACTGTCCAAGAGGGCGCCAAGACGGCCCAAGAGGCGCCCAGGAGGGCCCCAAGACGGCCCCAAGAGGGGGACCACGAACCGAACAGTCTAGCCTTTCGCCCCAAGACGCTCCCAGGAGGCCCCAAGAGCCCCCCAAGAGGCCCCCGAAAAAGCCAAAATCATTGATTTCCTATTTGGAAAAGGTACATGTTTAGCATGTACGGCTTTTCGGCTGTCACGGCGTTGACGACGACCCAAGAGGCCCCCAAGACCGCCCCAGGACGGCCCAAGAAGCTCCCAAGAGTCCCCCAAAACGGCCCAAGAGGGCCCCAAGACGGCCCAAGAGGCGCCCAAGAGGGCCCCAAGACGGCCCGAAGAGGGGGACCACGAACCGAAAAGTCTAGCCTTTCGCCCCAAGACGCTCCCGTGAGGCCCCCAAGAGGCGTCTCAAGAGGCCCCCAAGAGGCGTCCCAAGAGACCGCCAAAAGGGCTCTAAAAGAGCCCCAATAGGACTCCCAAGGAAGCCCAGAGACGCCAAATGAAGAGCGATCGGTAACGCAAAAAGCTCTTCACACCAAGGCTACCAAGAGCGAACGGTGACGTAAACAAGCTGACAAGACCAAGGCTCCCAGCAGAGAGCGGTGACGTAACAAGTTCCTGACACCAAGGCCCAGCCAAGGCTCAGGAACGGGCAGCAACGCAACAATCTCTGAACACCAAGGCTCTCAAGAGCAAGGGGTGACGTAACAAGCTCTCAACGCCAAGGCTCCCAATACGAATGGTGTGAGTAATTTCGGTTTCTGTTTCTGAAGCGCTCTTTCCGTCTCTGTGCCGAGCCAGGTGGCATTGGCCCGACCTCGGGAACGGGGAGGGCTGGAAGGGTCAGAAACTCCGGGTGCAGTCATCGGAGGAGGACCAGCCGAGGCAGCGGCGGGCCTCGGCATCGGCTTTCCACTTTGGGGGGGGCCTCCTGGAGGCTTCTCGCCGCCACGGCTGGATCCGCCTCGAAGCTCGCGTTTTTGGATGGATCTCGGGAAGCATGTGGACCGATTTTGAGTGAATTTCGAGCACCGAGGTTTAGATGGATCTCGGGAAGTACCTGGACCAGCTTGGAGCGAATGTTGGCTGGGCGGGCGAGCCGCCGTGGGCCCAACCGGCCCTCCTCCGAGGCAGCGCCGCCCTCTGGTGCTGTGCTTATCTGTTGCAGCGAACTGGACCCCAACCCGAACCAGCAGGAACCTGGTCAATCCCGAACCAAAACAGTGCGCCCAAATCGGCCCGATGGGGGCGACCAGGCGAAACCTGCTGGCCCTGGTGGGGCCTGGTGGGATCCGAACCGAAGCGACCGAACTGGCTTGAACGACCATACCGAAACCGAACGAGCAGGAACATGCCCGCCGCTCGACTCGACCTGCCGCGACCGAACCGGCCCGCCGCCGAAACGGCCCAAACCGACCCCAACCCGACCATTCCTGGAGAATATCGACCTGGAGAAGAGAGCGAAAACCCACCGCCCAAATCCCCCGCTGGACATCGCGAGCGCCAGGATGCCCACACCAGGGCGCGAGCTGATCCGTGCTCTCCCGGTTTTGCCCTGTTCTCGCTGTCCCTCGGTTTGCCTTCGTGTTCCGCCTCTGCCGCAAGAAGAAGCCAAAACGAAAACGGCCCACGAACTCGCCACAAAGCCTTTCATCGGGGGCGCGCAAACATGGATTACCGATCCATAGATTTGGCGCGCGGTCGCCAAATCCATGGATCGGGGGAGGTGCCTTCCGCAAAATGCGGCCGGTGCCGCCTCTCGGCGGCGGAAATCCGCGATTCCCCACGGAAACGGGACCTGTCGCTAATCCACGCCCCCTTGATCCATGTTGCGATTGCCTGACAAGTCTGCCTTTGTGTGCCGCCTCTGCCGCAGAAAGAAACCAAAAAGAAAACAGCCCACGAACTCGCCACAACGCGGCGCAGCTCGCGCCAAGCCGTAGATCGGGCGCGTCCCCCCACAGGCGGATTCTGGACGAAAAATAACAGCTACCCCAAAAAGAAACAACGATTGCCCACAAGTGCCAAAACATCGTCCACCTATTATGTTTTGACTATTTTAGGATATTCGCCCTGTAGGAGGATTTGAGCAGGGATTGACCGTCCCGGCATTTCTATAGTCCTACCACGAAATTTTCGTAGAACCCCAAAATGTTCTAAGAGCAAAACGATGTTATTATAACTTCAGCCGCAGGTGTTAAAATAAGACGGCCCCGGCCAGAAATGCTCCAAGAACATGTTGTGGAAACCACAAAAGGTTCTTAGAACATTGTTTGGTAGGGCTGTAGGCGAGCCAAGACGCTTCGCCACTGCTTGCAGGACGTGCCCGACCGAAGCCGGGCAACAACGGACGGCCGCAGGCCGCTCGCCCGCCCGCCGCGAGCCGAGGCAGCCGCGCCCCGGCGGCCTCCCGCCAAGGCGCGGGAGCGGGGCGGCGGGCGCCCGAGGCCGCAGAGGGCACCGGCGGAGCCCAGGGCCGCCGCGACGGATGCCACAGCCGCCGCGCGCGGCCCCCGCGAATCGGGCGTTGCGTCAGGTCGGGCAGAGCCCCCCCCCCCACACAGGCGGATGTGGGACGAGGAGTAAAAGATCCCCCAAACATGCAAAAACAAAAATGGCATCAAGGAAAAACAAAAAAACGTCCCCGGACTATTGTTCAACTATTTTCGAATATTCCCCCCGTGGAGGTACAGGCTCGAACTAAGCGTTGCGCAATGGGAGGCGAGAAGGGGGGGAAGGGGGTGGGCGGGAGGGGGGGGAGCAGCGTGCCCCTTTCGTGCTCCACTTGATCCCTCTTGGGCCCAAGGGGGGCCTGCCTGTGAGGCCCCTGCAGGGCCCCCAGAAGGTGCACCTCTCACCACCACCCCGTTCACCGCCCCCCCACTACGCAACGCCCGAGCAAACTCGGGTGACTGTGCGCTGGTGGTCCAATCGATCACGGGCGACCAAGTCGGGCATGGATCCTGGTGGGGCTCAAGATGTGGACGGGGATGGGGATAGGAAGGGATAGGGCCAGGGCCGCCCGAGGCGATCTGTCAGCGGCTCAGCTTGGTGGCTGCGAGCTCCTTCGTGGCCCATGCGGCGCCAACACACCCTGCGACGACCTCCAGCGCATGGGGTTGCGCGAAAGGGACGGCCTTGGGCTGGAGCTTAACACTGTGTTACGTGTTCGCTTGTTTTCGTTATCCCCGGTTATGTCTTCTTTCCGTCGTTGGTGCAACACGAAATCCACACGAAAACGCTCCACGAAACCGCTGAAAACCGTTCAGTTCGCCCGGCGGGCTTCCCAGAGGCCCTCCTGGAAGCCTCTGCGGCAAGGCCTACTGCCCTCTAAAAGTTCCCCACCTTCTCATCAGGCCACCCCCTTCGCGCCGCCTCTTGTGCGCGCGCCGCTGGAAGCCGTCGCAGGAGGCATTGGCATCGCGCCGCAGATAGATCGCCTGGGACGGCCCTGGCCCTTTCGAGCCTGAGAGTAGCTGCGAGACTTCCAACCCTTCCCGGAGACGCCTGCTCACAAGGGAGTTCCCAGCTGCTGCCTGCTGCAAGGCGGGAGATACTCCCATGGACGTGCGAACACAGACACCGCTCCAGAAAAATGTGGCAGCACTCCTGGCGACGAGACCGCGCAGTCCCGCCCACCTTCAGCCCGCTCTGCATTGGTTGTAGTATGTTCCCAAAGCGCGGCACTGTTTGCGCTCCATGGCCCGCTTGCTATTTCAGCCTCTTGTGCACCTCCGCTTTGTTTTGCACTGCACTGCCTTGCATGTCTCAGCCCATTGTTCCTCCCAAATGCTCGACCCCGTCGCTGCCCGCTGTCCACGGCCTGCTCCGCGACGGCAACGGAGAGCAACTACAGCGCCAGAAAGCGGCGCCACGGCATCGGGAGCAGCTGAGGAGGCATAGAACGGTGGAAATGCCGAGCTGCACAACGGCGAGGCCTCTCCGCCTCCTCCCCCATCCTGTTCTCCCGCCTCCGCCCTCGAGGACGACGATTCGCGGATGCCGCCAGTTATGCCAATGCACCAAAGACTTTAGATGTATCCGGAAAACTCTGGAGGTCCATGGAGGCTCCTGGAGGCCTCTAGAGGTCGAGCCAAATCCAGAAACTGTGGTCCTTGGTCCCCGAATCGACGACGAGCGACGACGTGCGACGACGACGTGCGACGACGACGAGCGAAGACGACGTGCGACGACGACGACGGCGCCAGCAAAGGTGACGGCCACGAGGACGACGAGCGACCACGACCCGACGACAACTCGACGACGATGACGGCGACAACAACGACGACAACGAAGATGACGACGAAGACGACGACGGCGACGACGACGACGACGACGACGACGACGACGACGGCAACGACGGCGACGACGGCGACGACGGCGGCGGCATCGACGTCGGTGGCGGCGGCTTTGGGCGCGACGCCTGCTCGAGGCGGAGGAGGGCGACCTCTGCGCGCCGCGCGGGGACGCCCGCTGCAGGCCCACGAGGTCCTGGTCGACCATGCCCTGCATCAGCCACAGGAACTCCTGCCAAGCCCGGAGAGGGAACTGTGTGTGTGCGTGTTTGACTAACTGGGGGGGGGGCCGCCGCGGCCCGCTCGTGGTGGAATTCTTCCGCCTCTGAGCGCCTCCTCCTCCCATTCCGCCCGCGGCCCTTTTCTCCTCCTTGTGCGCTGGCACACTGGACAATTAGCTCAGTAGTGCCCCTGCTTCGCTCTTTCGCTGGTGCGGACTGCCGCCGCCTCGCCGCTGACAAAAAAAAGTGTTTGACCAGAAGGGGCAGGTTCCCCTCTCCGCGGAGCAGTGCACGCCTAACCATCGTTAGGCTCATCAGAAGCCTCCTCATCATCCGAAAACGCGCCAAGACGCCCAAGACGGCCTCAACACGGCTTAAGAGATGCCCAGGGTGCCCGAAGAGAGCCCCAATAGCTCCCCCCCAAGCGCCCCAAGAACCAAACATCTGGATGGATCTCGAGTTATTGCCATTTCGGGCGCCCGACGCTCCAAGACGGCCCTGGCCATCGCTCGGACGTCCATTCCCTGCGCGTTGTTCGGTTTCGTGTGTGTTTTTTTCGCAGGATCATCCAGGATGCTCCTCAATAATCCCCGCCGAGAAAAAGTGCACGCGTTCGAGCGATACCAAGGGCCTCAAGGGCCTCCAAGATGGCCGCAGGACGGCCCATGAGGAACCCAACACAGCCGCAAGTACCCCCATGACGGCCCAAGGCCAAAGAGGGGGCCCCGGAGGGGCAATTCACGCGAACCGACATTTGGAGCCCTCCGTCGCACGAGGCGTCCAGGAGGGCCCAAGAGGCGCCGAAGAGGCTCCAAGAGGTCCCCAGGAGGCCCTCGAGAAGCTCAACGAGCTCAAGAGGCCTCCAAGAAGCTCAGGAGGACTCAACGACACCTCAAAGACGCCTCCAAGAGGCTCCCGAGAGGCCTTCAAATGAAGAGAAGGCCCACAGGCTTCCCATACGCCTCTGGCCTACAACCCAGGCGCAGTGGCGGAAGGGGCCGAAGGCCACCGAGAGCATCGTTTTCCATTGAAGCACCTGCTTCGCCATGCCTCCCTCAGCACAGCCTCGCACCATGCCGCCTCGCCCAACCCGATAATTACCGTGCGCGCTTATCAAACACTCGTATCTGCATTGCTGTACTACATCTCCTCCTTTGTCCTGGGCTCATATCAGATCGGACGATGGGGGGAGATAACGAATGCGCTCACGTAGATGGTCTCTCCAGCGCCTCCCGGCGCCAGAGGCGCAGATGCACCGAGGAGCGCGCTGGGCGTCGGGGCCAAAACCAACTGCATGAAGCACATGCCGTTCCCCCACCCTTTCCAAATTCCCCCCTCCTCGCCGAATCCGAGAGAGGAGTGAAGAGGAAAGGAGGGCGGGAGCAGTCAACAGCACCGAAGTTCGAGAAGCCAGATCGAATCGGCAGGGAACCGGGAACGGAATCAAATCGGATCGGCCGCGCCAGGATGCACGACAGCTACATGCAAGCACGAGATACCGCCATTCCCTGGACCTCTCCTGGGGTGCGCTCTGGCCAGAATCTCGCGGGGAATCCAGCCGTGGCGACGAGGGCCTCCCAGGAGACCCAAAAAGGCCAACAACAGGCAGGGGTAGCTGCCTCGACACCCTGTTCCATTTTCTTTCTGTTTCCGCGGACTTTTGGAAGGAGACGCAGGAACGCTGAGGGAAGGCACCTCTTCCTGGTCCGAACGACGGGTCTCTGGGGTGTACGAATCGAGTCGGGACTGGCCCGCGAGCTCCGGCTACGGCGACGGCGTTCCAAGGGCGCAGAGCCGACGAAGCGGGATGGGCCCCCCTGCCTTCCCGCACAGCCCACCCAGGTCGACATCTTCCCCCGGGTCCCTCCGACGCTGTGGCCAGGAACAGCAGGGGTGTGTGGGGCGCATGACCTGCCCATTCTCATGGGGGCGACCATGAGAACCACCCCTGTTCCCCAGTTGAGGTCGACGGCACGAAAGGCCCATCTTATGAATCAGCCCTGTTAGAATGTACAGTTACACCATTACCCGTTAGAATGTCATCTGTATGAATCAGCCCTGTTCAACAAGGATGATTTTCAAATTGACCCCAATGAACCCTTCCCTGAACCCCTCCGGCCCAGGGTGGGTTAGTAGAAAAATGGAACGGCCGGCCGATTCGGGCGTATTCCCCGAGCGCGCGGCGGTTCGCGACGGGGTGGGTGACCGGAACAAGAGATCGTTACCAGAGAGTCCCGACGCATCCTGGCAAAAAATGGGGGTCCGGCAAAACGGCGCGCGGGGACGGTCCCCGACGATTTCCTGCCATCGCTTCCACGGCAGGGACAGGGTAAATTGAAAAGATGCTATCCCCCGTTCATCCGAAGAAAAATTTCGGGGGCCCGCGGTAATCGACGACGACAATGACACATAATGACGACGACGACGACGACGAGGACAGTCCGCCGACGCCGACACCGCCGACGCCAATGACGAGGACGACGACAACGACGACGGACAACGACAACGCAAAGCAAGCCGCTGCGGATGCCCAAGGGGGGGTACTGCGAGGGTGCCCAAACGGCGACGACGACGACGGACGACGACGACGACGACGCCGACGATGACGACGACGACGAGGACGCCGCCAGACGACGACGACGACGACGAGAACGAGAACGAAGACGACGACGACGACGACAACGACGACGGACAACAACAACAACGCAGCGCAAGCCGCTGCGGATGCCAAAGGAGGGGTGCTGCGAGGGTGCACGAGCGACGACGACGAGAACGGACGACGACGACGAGGTCGACGACGACGACGACGCTGACGACGACGACGACGACGATGACGATGAAGACGACGACGACGACGACGAAGGACGACGGGGACGGACAACGACTACGCAACGCAAGCTGCTGCGGATGCACCACGGGGGGGGGCTGCGGGGGTCCGCCGCCGCCGCCGAGGACGCCGCCGACGGCGACGACAACGACGAAGACAACGACGACGGCAGACGAACGTCGACGACGACAACGACGACGACGACGGGGACTGGGACAATGACAACGACAACGACGACGACAATGACGACGACGAATGACGACGACGAAGACAGCGACGACGACGATAACGACATCAACGACAACGACAACAACACCGACAAAAACGACAACGACAACAGAGACAACGACCACGTGGACGGACGACGACGATGGGTGTCACGTGTCACCCCGAGCACCACCGTCGTCGTGGTCGTCGTCTTCGTCGTGGTCGTCGTCCTCGTCGTCGCCGTCGTGGTCGGCATCGTCATCGTCATGTTCGTCGTTGTCGTCGCCCTCGTCGACGTCGTCGTCGTCGCGTGGCATTGGACGGAGCCACTGCAAGCTGCGGGCTGGGCAAGGCTGGGACGGGCTGGCGGTCAACGCGGGGCCTCGTCTCGGTGCCATAGGACGCTGGACGGAGCGGCGCCGCTCGACGCTGCCGAGGCGGGGCGGGGGGGGCTCCTCTAACTCCTCATTGGTTCTCCTCCTCCCCCCCCCTCGTTCTCCTCCTCCTCCTCCTCGTCCTCATCATCGACCACATCCGCATCATACAATCGTCGTCCTCCTTCGCCTCCTCCTCCTCATGTTTACTATCATTTGTTCAGTATCATCATCAGTATCATCCACACCCGACGATCTCCAGCATCACCATCGGCATCATCACCACCACGGTCATCGTCATCATCATCATCATCATCATCATCATCAGCATCCTCATCAACATCCTCCTCCTCATCATCATCATCATCACCATCGCCATCAATACTATAATCATCATCACCATCGCCAACAGAAACAGCATCGTCACCATTATCATCGCCATTCTCATTCGCACTATCTGCACTATCGTCATCATCAATGCAAGCATCATCCTCATCATCATCAGCATCGTAATCGTCATCGTCACCGTTATCGTTACGTGTACCATCCGCATCAGTATCAGCATGATCATCAGCATGAGCATGAGCATGAACATCACGAGCATTAACATCATCATCATCACCCGCATCATCAGCTTCAGCACTATCATATTATTATAAGCATCCAAATTATCACCCTCATCCTCATCCTCACCATCACCATCATGACCACCATCGTCATCCTCATCATCATGATCATCATCGACATCATCGCCATCATCTGTATGAGTATGTGTTTCGGCATCGTCATCGGCAGCATCGTCATCGTCATCGTCATCATCTTCATCAGCATCCACATCAACATCTTCGCCCTCATCTTCGTCAACGTTATACTTATCATCCCCATCAAAATGATCCTCATCATCATCCTCATCCTCAGCCTCCTCCTCATCCTCCTCCTCCTACTTATCATCAGCATCACCATTTCCATATCCACTACCACCACCACCACCACCACCACCACCACCATCATCATCATCATCATCATCATCATCATCATCATCATCATCATCATCATCATCATCATCATCATCGTCATCGTCATCGTCATCGTCATCGTCATCATCGTCGTCGTCGTCGCAATGGTTGTCGTCGTCGTCGCCATCTTTATCGTCACCGTCATCATCCCGCCCCCCCTTGTCCTCCACCCTCCCATTCCCTCCGTCCCCCTCCCTCCTTCTTCCTCCTCCGTCCCTCCATCCCTCCTTTCCCCCCATCCCCGCCCCCGATCCTGCCCCCCACCCCCCCCCGACACTCCGGGAAGTCGAGCGCGACGTCCCTCAGGGCGGCGTCGGCGAGGGCCTCTCCCGGGGAGCGCGCCGCGGCGGTGAGACCGAGGTAAATATCTATCCTGGCGTCCGATCGGGCTTGTTTTCGATATCCTGCGGGGGCAGGATCGGCAAGCACGGGATCGCGAAGTCGGGTCTGATCGGAACGTGCACTGGATCGGGCTGCGGGATCGGCTGCGCCAGTGTACAACGGCTCCATGCAAACAACGGGCCGCACCGCATAGTCGGAACATCGGATTCGAATCGGCTCGGTCCAGCCATAATCGAAACCGAATCGGATCGAAAGTGACACTTGAGGGTGACCGCATTTTTCGGCTTCTGGAAATTGTTGCTGGGCCCGAAATACCATCACACAACTGTATTGTTTGTCGCGGCAGCGGCGAACGCACGGCGCGGACGGAGCATGAGAGGGACGCGAGGAAGCCTGTTGGCGCAGGACAAAGCGGATGCGGCCGACCATTACATAACAGCTTGGTATATCAAACAGGCCGAGGGGAAAGAGTCGACAGCACTGAGGTCCACGGGCTGAAATTGCTCAATCCGCCAGAGATCGTTGGTGACGTGCAGATATGGAGATGGGGGACGGTCCGACTAGCCAAGGAGCTGGTCGCCTCGTCTCGAGTGCCATGCCACCTCGTCCTCATCCGAACGCAACCGAACACATCATCACTCACCGTCTTCATCCTCATCATCATTATCATCCACACGCTCATGGTCCTGCTTTCGGACTTAGGAATTCCGCCAGTTGGACCACGGCCGTGGTCTCCCTTATCCTTATCCTCTTCCTCCTCTCCCTCATCAAACAATCATCATCATTATCGTCGTCGTCGTCATCATCATCATCATCATCATCATCATCATCACCATCCTGACCCTGATCCTGGTTCTCCTCCCTCCGACTCCTCTTGCATCTCTTTTCCCTGCTCTTCCTTCTCCTTTTGCTCTTCACTATGCTGTCCTTATTCTTTCTCCAAGGGACGAGGACGCAGAGGAGGAAGGGGAGGAGGCGCGAGGAAGAGGGAAGGGGTGTGCCGAAAGAAACACACGAACGAAACAAGATAAGGAAAGGGACGAGGCATGGCACCGTGGGCGAGGTCCAACTGGGGCCCGAATCCGTTCTTGAAAAGGAGTGCGGTCCGACGATGGCGAGCCGATTCAGCGATCTCCAACAACCCGCTCCCCCGCTCCAACAGCTCTCCTCGAGAATCTCTTTGCGCCCGCCCGCAACGTCCGTTAACGGGGTGGGTGGGGGGGGGGGTCGGGCCCCCGTGGGGTGGGTCACGGGAGCCCGGTCGGGCCCCGCGGAACCGCGTCGTCGGACGACGACGACAACGACAACGACGACGGAGACAACGACAGCGACGACGACGAGGATAAGAGCAAGGACGACGACGACGTCGAGGACGCCGACGACGACGATAACCACGACGATGACGACGATAGCGACGACCAAGAATACGATGACGACGGCGGCAGCGCCGACGAGGACGCGGACGAGGAACGGGGACGGGAACGACGACGACGACGAGGACGAGGCCGACCAGAGACGGCGACGAAGACGACGACGACGGCGACGGCGGCGACGACGACGGCTGCCTCTGTTGGTCTCCGAAGATCTTCAGAGGCATCAGGAAGTTTCTGGGGGCCCTGGAGGCATCTGGAGATCCTTCGAAGCCCTCGGAGCCGACGACGACGACGACCAGGACGAGGACGAGGACGAGGGCGTGGACGACAACGACGTCGACAGCCGACTCTGAAAAAATCGACAGAGATCTCTGGAGGCCTCAGGAGACCGTAAGAGGCCGCTGCGAGCATCTGCATGCCCTTCAAGGCCCTCGTACACGACGACGACGATAACGACGACGACGATGACGAGGACGAAGACGGGATAATGACGACCAGAACGACGACGACGACCACGACGGCGACGATGTCGGCGACGACGACGACGACGACGGCGACGATGACGACGACGACGACGACGAGGACGACGAGGACGAGGACGACGATGACGACGACAACGACGAGGACGAGAACGACGACGACGACTGCCGCCTCTGGAGGCGGCTGGAGTCTCTATCGTGCCTGTCAGCACCACGCCATGCCCGTGAGCACGGCGCCATAGCTGCGGAGGGCAGGGACTCGATACCCGTATGTTCGTTACCAGAATGGGGGGTCGACCCCCCCCTTAACGACGTTCCAGGTTCAAAACATCGTCTCCTTCTCCTCCCCTTTGCTCCAACCCCATCTCTCCCCCTCCTCCTCCTCCTCCTCCGCCTCCTACACTCCCTCCTCCTTTTCCTCCTCCGCCTCCTGCACTTCCTCTCTCGGACAATCTGGCGGTGTGCGAGGGGTGGGCCAGACGGGACCAGCAGCCCAAGGGCGATGACGCGGACCTGTGGATCATCTTGGCCAAGGTCTTCCTCCACAGGCCTCGGGCGGAGTTCATCATCGAGCACGTGTACTCGCACCTGGAGGCCAGCGACGCCGTGGACTACGGGGTGCCGCACTGGCAGATCTTCGGCAACGCGGTCGCCGACGTCCTGGCTGGCGCCGCTGCCGACGGAGTGCGAGTGGCAGCCGCTGATCGAGCACGAGTCGTTCAGGCTGAACACGCGGCGCTTCTGGTTCGGCGGCGCCTGTTGCGGGCCACCCTCGATGCCATCGAGGCG